GATTTGTGTGGATTTGACGCGCGCATCGATCCCACTTGGCTTGGCTGATCAGGTACAGCTACAGCAGGGATGATTAGGCCCTCAACGATGGAAACTGTGTTTTTGTTTTTGTACTGGATCGACCCAGTGGGTCATGCACAGCACAGAGCGGCTTTTATTCGGCCGTTGGGCCATGAATTTACGTGGATATTGATTATTTGAGCGGGACATTGTGTCAACCTTATTAATTTCTAAGATCTCATCGGCATTGGCGTGGAACCTATGACTACGACCGACCATAAAAACTGCTGATGAGTTGGTGTATTATCTCTTTTAAATAATGGAATAAAATTTATCATTGAATCTCTCCCAATACTCAAATTATTGGGATCAGTTGGCTCTTACATGATATCAGAACTTTCCGTGATCGAGATGTCTTATGTTTGAATCCTGATAACCCTCATTGGTATAAGCACATGGTTAATGATTCTTATGCAGATTTCAAGCGTATATGAGTGTCTTTTGTTTTAGAGGCATGTTAGTAAAATGGTTTAAAATCCATTGTTGAACGTCTTCCAATAACTCGTACTATTGAGATAATACGAATCTCAAAACATTTAACCTAAATATTAAAGATTTTATATAGTAGATAGACGATAGTAGATACGCTGAAAGAATATATGCAAACTTCAAACTCATCTTTCTGAGTTAACAGGATTCATTATGTTTGAAACTGAACAAAGATTAAACCAAAAAGAAAACAAAGCTGGCTAAGTAAACAATGAAGCCGGGGTGAAACCCTAGGGATATTAAAAAAATAAGAGAGGTAGGTAGCCCGCGGTCTACGCGCTAGCTAGCTGTTTGGTAATTGTATAGTGGGGGGATTCAAGCGGAAGCGTGTTAAATGAAAATGGAGAGCCACAGACAGCGCCAATGAAACAGAAGAGGTTGGTTGCTGCAAGGCCTCTGTCAATTGAACTGATGATGATGATGATCCCACCACCACCAGTATTCAGTACTACCACTGATCGATGACCTTTTCCTCCTCATAAATATCCTCCAATCCATCCTTGAATTGAATCCCTGTGTCGAAAAGAAAATGCTTGCTGTGGACGAAACTACTGCTGCAAGCAAATCCCCTAAAAAGAAAGAAAGGGATTTAACCTTCCAATTACAGGCCCCAGTTCCAAATGTAGCAACTCACAATTGAATTGGAGCTTGCAGTAATGGGGAGGAGGGTGGTAGTAGGAGGCGCTTCAATTTCAATGCAGTATGCACATCACATGCGACAGCGACGCAAGGAAATGATTAAAATCTATTCATAAATTTCTCCTAATAATTCGAGTTATGACTACGCGTTAAGATAAATCCATGAGTTACGTACCTTGTTGATTACTCATTATGTTATATATTCCCCCTCTGCAAAAGCTCCTCTGCCACAGAGAGTTATAACTCAAGAAATATATAGCTCAACCTTCTCTGACAGACCACGTACCTTCTCCATTACTTAAATTTTTTATTTTCAGCTTATATATATGCTCTTCATTATTTGTCTAGTATATATATTAACATCCAGTTGATAAACACCAAAACATAATTAGTCTGTGATGATGGCGGAATACTAATGATCACGTGCTAAGAGTGGACCTGGACCGGATGGAGTGCTGAAGGAGGGTTTTTTTTTTTAGTCTGGGAAAAACATTATCTATCTGGGGCCTGGAGGACGTGATGAGGATAGTTTGGTCACACAAGCCTTTATTTTTTCGGTAAAACGAATGAATTTTGTTTTGTTATTTAATTAATCCTATAATAATCATACCATACTATACCATAGACGACCCAATAGTATAGATTGGATGGATCTTGGAGGGCCAATTGAGTCTCTATTGGACCATCAATGTGTACAAGCAATAATGATAAGAATGTGTGTTCCAGGAAAGAGGTATATAAATCTTGGACAAGGTCAATCCCCAGGATCCGATGGGTTTACTGCTGGCTTTTACCAAAGATTCTGGGAAGAGATAGGGGCTGATGTCTGTGAGGCTCTTCTCTCCTTCTTTCAAACAGGCCGATTGCTGCATAGTGTCAATCATACTCTGATTACACTCATTCCCAAGGTTGCTAATGCGGATTCCATGAGACAAATGAGGCCCATTGGACTCTGCCAGGTTCTGTACAAAATAATTGCCAAAATTTTATCTGCCAGGCTAAGCTCCATTCTTCCTCAGATTATTAGTCCTTTCCAAAATGGTTTTGTTAAAGGTCGCTGTATATCTGATAATATTTTGATTGGTCAAGAAGTAATGCAGTTTCTCAAAACCAAGATCCGTGGTCAGGACAAATGGATGGCCCTCAAGATCGATATGGAGAAAGCTTATGACCGGGTGGAATGGGAGTTTCTGTTTCAGGTTATGCAGACCATAGGTTTCTGTGAGAAATGGATGCGTTGGATCAAGTCTTGTGTTACTACTGTCCATTTCTCAGTCCTTCTCAATGGGGCCCAATATGGCTACTTTCAACCCCAACGAGGTTTACGCCAGGGAGACCCACTATCTCCGTTACTGTTCGCCATCTACACTGAAGCCTTTGCTGCAAAGATTTCACAAGAGGTAGCCTCTTCTTCACTCCATGATTTAAGAATACACAGATCTGCCCCTCCATTATCTCACTTGTTTTTCGCAGACGACTCCTACCTCTTTCTTAGAGCCTCTATTCCGGAATGTGCCGCTCTGCTTCAGCTCCTAACTGACTACGAAATAGTCAGTGGGCAGCGAGTTAATTTACACAAATCTGCTGTCTGTGTGAGCGGTAATGTCTCTGATCAGGAACTACAAGCTATTAGCTCTTTCCTAGGGGTTAATGTTTTGCAGGCGGCGGATAAATATCTAGGGCTGCCCTCTCAAATCGGTCGTTCCAAGACATTGACTTTCCAGTTTATTGAGGAGGAACTAGCTGCCCGCATTCGGAGTTGGAAGGGGAAATCACTATCATTGGCAGGGAAGGAAGTGGTAATAAAGGCAATAGGGGCAGCAGGGCCTATTTATGCCATGTCGGCGTTTCGTCTTCCTCAGGAAACATGTCGTCGATGCAATGGCCAGCTCTCAAAATATTGGTGGGCAGGGCAGGACAAGGAAAGAGGCATTCATTGGATATCGTGGAGTGCTCTCTGTCAGAGCAAATTTACTGGTGGGCTTGGATTCCGAGATTTTAACAGGTTCAACATTTCATTACTGGCGAAGCAAGCATGGCGAATTCTCCATAATCCCACCAGCCACCTTGCACAAATTTACAAGGCGCGCTATCATCCTAACGTGGATTTCTTGGAAGCAACAGCAGGTTCCCGACCGTCCTGGGCTTGGCAAGGTATTTTGGAAGGGCAAAAACTACTTAAGAGAGGTCTACGGTGGCAGGTGGGGAATGGCGCTCGGATCCGGGTACTCCAAGATGTTTGGCTCCCATCCACCCCTCCATCTTGTCCAGTTTTGAAGCCAGGTGCGCATTCTTGTCCCATCTTTGTAGCGGATCTTATTTGCCATGAGTCTCACCTGTGGAAGAAGGAGCTTTTGGAGTCTCTATTTACTTCATCATGTGTAGATCTTATCCTGTCTATTCCTCTCCCCTGCTCCCATATGAATGATAGATTAATTTGGCATTATTCACCCTCTGGAGCATTTACTGTTAAGACAGGTTATCATTTACTGTCGTCGGAGCACAATCTTCTCCACCCACCTGCCATCCTCCCTTTCGATACTCGGTTTTGGAAACTGCTTTGGAATCTGCCGTTGCCACCGAAGCTGAAGTTTTTCTTTTGGCGGACTGTCCGGGGTTTCCTACCATTGAAATCAGTGCTGTTTTCTAAGACCCTGGTCGAGGACACGGTCTGCCCGATTTGTGATGCAGCACCGGAGTCCTTCACCCACTTCTTTTTTGTGTGCAGGATAGCTAGGGACCTTTGGCGACTAGCTGATTGTGAAGACCTGCGAGTGGCTCTTGGTGAGATGGCTCCGGACGATGCTTGGAAGCATTTATTTTTCGGTAGGAACTTATCCAAAAGTGAGATAGCCTTTGTGGTCTTCGTCCTATGGCGCATTTGGAAGGCTCGATGCTGGTCAATTCACGCACTTACCCAGTACTTACCCCCGGCGCTGTTCCGACAACTTCAACACCAAGTTGCTGAATGGAGGGAGGCGGAGCATATCAGGCCGGCGATTCGTAGCAGCACTCACGCCGCGCCCTCACTTCCAGCCAGCCTACGGAATTCTGAAGCAACAGGGACCGATCTTCATCCTATCCCCATTAATGTTTGGGTTGACGGATCGGCGAAGCGTGATCTAGGCGGCGGGGTTGGTTTCGTGGGCTTCCAAGGCTCAGGTAAGATACTCTTTGCGTTTGGCAAATCTTATGCTGGATTATTTGATCCCTTTATCATGGAATGCTTAGCCCTCAGAGACGCTTTGCATTGGTGTTTGACACACGGTTTTGTTCATGTGAAATTTCATGGGGACTCGCAACCATTGATGCATCGGATGTCGAGGAATGACTTGGCACATGATCGGAGTGGTGCAGTTCTAGAAGATGCAAGGGCATTGGCTTCACAGCTTAGCTGGGTCTCATTCTGTTTTGTCTCTCGCAGACTTAATAGGGCTGCCCATCTTGTGGCACAAAAAGCCCTTTCATCGGGAGTTCGACGATTAGTCGACTCCCGCGCTCTTCTTTCTTCTTGTTATGACTGATTTGTTACCGCTAAATTTGACAAAAAAAAAAATCTTGGGTCCAATCCGGTGCCGTGTTGGGAGGGAGAAGTTGGAGATGGAGTGGGATTGGGGTGGAGTGAAAAAAGGCAAGGAGGGTGACCTAGGATTACGATGTGTAACTGTTGTGGGTCTCTCCAATCTTTCACTATCTGTCTGTAACTGACACATAATTAAATCCCTCTCTCTCTCTCTCTCTCTCTCACCCCACAAACCAGACTCCCCGGCCCCTTACTTCTCTCTGTTTTCCATTCATTACTCACAGTAAGTAAGAGTAACAAGCACTGCCCATCTCTTCTCCTCCACCAAAATACCTTACCATCTGGTTTTAGGAGAGAGAGAGAGAGAGAGAGCAGATTGGGTGGTCGGCTTTTTGGGTATTTATACCCCCGACTTCCTTTCCCCAACCTAAACAAAAAATACACTCCTTCCTTCCTTCCTCTCTCAAATCTCAATCACCCAAACCCTACCCTTCTCCCACCCTCCATCCTTGTGTGGGAAGACAAGATCTCTTCTTTTCTCCTTTACTTCCTCTTGTTTGATGCGATGGGGTTAGGGTTAGGGTTACAGCTGCAGCAGCTAGCCAGTGTTTGCGGGTGGAGCATCATCAAGATTCACAAGGTCCCTGGTTCAGTCTAAGATATATCATTCATATTAGTAAACCAAACCAAATCAAATGGAAGCCCCTTGCTACCATTCCCCCAGCTAGCTAGCTAGATCGTACTATTTTTTGTTTTTTGATGCTGCTTTCCCCCACATTTACAGTGTCCTTCTCGATCTCCTTTTCTTTTTTGGTGGGTTTTCTTGTTTAGGAATAGCAGCTGGTAGGTAGCAAGGTATCTTAGTACAAGACCAAACTTGGGAATCTTGATGATGCTGCAGCGGCGAATCACTGGCTTCAATATTATTAATTAACAACGTTACAAAACTAATTCCCTTGTCCTTTTACCACCCTAGTATTAATCTTTTCTCCTTCCTTGTATCAGTCAGTCCACCCACCACCTAAAGCAGCTCAAGGTAAGAGGAAAACCTGCACGATCGTGGTTTTAATTGGGTATGTACAAAGCTAATTAATTTAGTTATCATTTGTTCAGTACTAGGGTTTTGTGAAGCCTCTCTCTCTCTCTCTCTCTCTCTCTCTTTCTCTGCAGTATTATATATTTGGGGCGGGGGTAATTAACATCTTTAACTTTGTTTATTAATAATCCAATACATATATATAAAGTTTCTGCAATCTGGATCTAAGACGACTCTCTCTTTTCCTGTCCCTTTAATTTTTTGGTTTGTTTAGATTGGAGTGGATGATCAGATGAAGGGTTTGTTTGGAGCTTGTTTCTGTTGCTGGTCCAGCTGCTGACAGCCACCACCACCCTCACCAGGTTTATGTCTGTACCTTTTTTTTTCTTCTACTTATTACTTTGCTTCCTTTTTCCATCGATAAATGGCTGACTGATCAGTAGTTCCCGTACTATATATTTGTTTTGCTGCGAGCCAACATTTGTGTTTCTCTAGCTGTAAAAAATGGGCCTCTTTTCTTTCTTTCTGTCTGTTTTAACTTTTAAGTGACTTTTATCCTTTCCGATATATTATTTCTCTTTTAGCAGCAGCATAAAGTGAATTTATTATCCTGGGGGAGGGCAGTTTAGGGTATTTTCGTTTTATAGTTCCCATCCATTTAATGTTTCGCCGGACAGTCGACAGACAAGTGAAGTGGTTTTGGACACACATGGCGCACAGACAGTAGTACTTGATTACCTAGTTATACTGGTTTGTGCAGATTCGATCAAGATTTGCCAGCCTTCATAATCAGTGATGGAAATAATGTGGTGCTTCTACCTGTTTCAAAAAATCTGTATCTACGTACAAACAACCGTCATTCCTCTGATAATGATCATCACAGTAGCATATATGAAAGAGGCGGCGCTTGCTTGCTTGCTTGCTTGCTGCGTGGGGATCAGTACTTGAGAGACAGTATGATTAGGGTTTGTTAGACTACACGATGGACAAATTCATCAACTGCATGTGTTTCCCCCCCCCCCCCCCCCCCCCCCCCCGCCTGCAGAGAGGGAAATGAAATGATCATGTTTAACAAGAGATTCCCTCTTCTGATTGATTGATTGAGGCCTCCCATCTAATCTGTATTTATATATAAGTCAAAACTGTACTTTGCTATAGCTACGAAGGGCTCATCGATCGTCTCTTTCTTCTCTTCTTTTAATTGATCGCAATCTAGTGCCCAATGGTTAAAAGAGGAGTAGCTGGTCTGGTGTGATCATCTGCAAACAGATACGCACATCATGTGCAGACATGACAAGAGATGTGTTGGGATGGAGGCTTTTTCTTTCTTTCTTTCTTTCTTTCTTGGATCTGTTGCCGTGATCATCATCGATCTTAACTATGTTGATTTCATTGAAGTTTACGTTTCATGTTCATTCAGTTACATATATAGTAGCAGTGCTTTATACATGGTTTAACTTTCTGTCCAGCACCGTACGTAATCACCATATTCAGACTTGGTGATCATATGCTAGTTTCAACCTCGGCGAGCAAGTAACAAGCAGAGTAGCCCGTCAAAAAATTTCATGTCGTTGGGTTTTTTTTATTTTACAAAAGGTATCATATATTGATTAGAAAATATAGAACAGTACATCCTGGAACGACAAGTAGACGGGTACAATGTGAGGGTCCTTTTAAGCTTTAGCCACCAAATGAACTACCCTATTACTACTCCGACCTACAAATCGAACACAAAGTCCTGACATGGAGCCTAAAATATCGCACAACCTCCTCAAGAACTTGTAAATTCTTTACCTTCACAAAATTTGAGGACTCCAAGCAACTCAGCTATAGGTGATTAAACACGTCAGAGTTTTATGTTCTAAATTCAAGTGATTAACGTGTTCTACCAACATGTAAGAGGAGATTTGAGTACTCGTAGCATTTATAAAGAGATGACAAGATAATTATGTATTTTATTTATGTTTCATATATTTTTGAAAATGTATGATTGATACCGTTTATAAATGTAAGAAAATAGGTAAACAATTCAGTTTTACGCCCCTACTAAAAATTTTAGTTATAGAAACTAACTACTGCAGCGTTTCACATTAAAGGAATAATACAGTCTTTATATACAAAAAATACGTAACGTACTAGCGGAGCCTCTATTTAAGAAGTATCTTGTTCGAATTCTATTGATCTCCTATATCATGTGTTAATTTAAATATGATGTGGTTTAACTTTGCAAACTTGAAAGCCATATCAGACTCATGCGTTATGTTCATTGTTGACGATGATCGCATCAATTTGTTGTGATAAGAATTATATTATTTATACAAAACAAATTCAAACCATACACGAAACTCGAGGCATTATTTACTCGATTAAATCGTATTACATTTTACATTAAACTTCATACATATGTGTTATCAAAATCAAATTTATTTTTAGATAAGACAATAAATCCATTCAATATCGTTGTATCTAACAATAAAAAAGTGTTCATTTTGATATTTCACTGAATCCACTACTCTAGAGATTAACCGAGACTAACTTTAAATTAAATCAACAACAGATAAGATCGCCTTAAAATTTTAATGGGTAAAAAAAAGGAGAACTTCCATAGAGTCGATTGAATTCTTTCCTTTACTAATTCGTGAATTAGGGTTTTACAAATGGTCAAGTAAAAGAAAGAAGCTGCGACGCAAAAGAGGCCACAGATTGTCAATCCGAACCGGATATTTGACTCACTGATGGGCCAAGTCTGAAGCCAGGACTGCCCAGGAGAAATCCGAGCTTTTCTGATGGACCAATTAATGTTATTTGGACTTCTCTCTCAAATCCCAAGTTGTTGCCCACACAAATATACGTATGGGCTATTAGAAGATGGGCCCTCGTCAAGGCAACACGCTTGTGGCTGTGGGCCGTCAAGTACAGTTGGTAGATCGACTTCGTTGTGAAGTGAACTCTCTCTCTGAGATACTTTCTTTCTGATTGTATTGGTAGCTCCAGCGTAACCCTAGAAGGATCGGCGACGGCGAATTGATCCTCTCATGGGTCCGAACGCGAAAGCGAGATGGAAGAGGTATCACAAGATCGATAAAGGCCGAAAACCGCGAAGGCAATACGGTGTCTTGTACCCTCAACCCCCACGGAGGAAGAAGCTGGAGGGGTCTAAACCGCCGGTGGATCCCGTTGATTCAGACGCGTATTCGGTCCACCAGGTTTTAAATGCTCCGAAACGGAAACCGACGAACAAGGCACCAAAGAAGAAGGAAGAGGAGAGTGAGGAAGAGGAGAGTGCGGATGAAAAGAGTCGTACGGAGGAGGAAGCGCAGAGTGGCGGTGAAGAGGGGCATGCGGCGGAGGCCATATACGTCAACCCTCCCAGGCCTCCTAACCCTCCCATGGCTTCCGAATCAAAGCGGGGGTACAGCAGGATACGGAAATGGAGGTTGAAGAAGGCCCGTCAGCAGGCGGAGGACGACAAGGCCACCGACGAGAAGAAAGAGAAGATGAGTTACGGCAGTCCCTACTGCCAACGCTGCAGAGAAGTTGACGAGCTCACGCTGGTGCCAGTGGCTGACGATGCAATGTATCTGTCTCTCGACGACGACTTTGGCGGCGACGACAACCTGAAACTAAGGGTAATCCGCTACCGGAGGAAGAAGTGGTTGACCGGGGTAAGTAAGTTCATTACAACACCCAACTCAACGCTCTTTCCAATTTTCCCCGGCAAATTAACAACTAAACATTCATGCACATAATTCACTATCTCATTGCTGCTGCTGTCCCGATTCCGAGTGTTTGCCATTACCGCTCGCTTAGGAGAGGAGACACCCTTCGATCTGCCACTAGAATACCATGTTTTAGGTTCCTCTAATTCCTTCATTTCGCTTGATTCATTGTTTGTTGATGAATTTGCAGGGTTTTGATGCTGATTGTCATCCTAGCTATCTTACTTTCGGTGGTATTTTTCAGCCATACCATTATCGCTTTGTTGTGGGTTTCGACAGGATGGTTCATGGGTCCGTGAAATACGCAATCAATGAATATAATCGACTGAAGGAATTTTTCTTTCTTTTGAAGCTTGTATGCTAATACATTATTCTATTCTTTTGTTTCTATTTAGTATATGGTCTCTCAAATGTCGGGTATATAATGTTTGCAGAAGCAAAAGTTAACTTTGCTTAGGATTGTGAACGTCACTGCCGAGTCTGCTGGGTGTTACATATTCTATGTAACATTTGAAGGCGTGAATGAGTTGCTGATTAGTAAGGGAACACCTGATATCATTCATACATACCAAACTGTAGTGACGTGTGCACTATGGTTCATTGGCAATCATGAAGTGTTCATCTTCAAGAGAAAATTCGATGACAAATTGTCGGGTGACGGACCGTCGAGAAGAAAAAGCTTCAGAGGTATGTGCTACTTGAACTTGTCGCTTTAGATATTTCACCAATTTCCATTAGCAATTATTGTTCTCTAATGGTTGGTTTCTCTTTTTTAGAGAAGCATTTGTTACGGCCAGAACCTAGTTATGCGGAACTCACAAGAGAAAAGAGAGAAAAGTGGTGGACCTTGGAAGCAGGAGTGAAAAATCGGGGACCTTGAATTCTTGCAAGGTTGTGTGTTATCTTTGCAGGAGTTGTTTGCTACCCTTATGTTAATAGTGTTTACGTTCACATTAGAGAACTGGTGGTAATGTGTTTTCTTTGCCTGTTAGTAGGATCCCATAGAGGATTTGATACACTTAAAAAATAGTTTTGGTTGTTAATTAGTAAACCATATAGCTAAATGGTTGAGGGTTTGATGTGATGGAAATATATTGTTCTAATGGAGAAAAGATAGAGAATGTCTGTTGATTGCGTCGAGCGCGAGACTTTATACCTGTCTTTCACTTAATTTGCCACAAACTTAGTTCAAATGTTTCTTAATATGAAGAACTCAATTATAATTCCTAGACTTTCTAATGACCTACAGTTTCTTCCAACTTTGGTTTTAATTCTCAATAACTAAACCCAACTACCCTAAAGCACAGCTCGGCCAAGCTAAAGAATTAAAGGACTTTTCTTAATTGTACTTATATTTGGAAAGCCCACCAGTAAAGCTTTTTCCTAAACGAATGGACTACTGAGTCCAATAGCTAAAGTAACGTAGTAAAAATAAGATGACCAGAAAGCCCAGCCCAACCTATATTTCTAGACCCGACCAATTCTTTTCAGTGAAGAACTAAACGGCTGAGTTTTAATTTAAACTAACTCTACCCTTCCCGCGTGGCTTTATTTCAATCAAGCAGTGACCAGTTTCACGTTGAACTAAGAACAGAGGAAGAACACCAAGAACACAGCAGTATAAACCCAGAAAATTTAAATGAAACTTAAATCAAACCAGGTCGCTATGGATTCTCCAACCCAGTTCTGCACTTAGTCTTCCAAGCTGCTTGATGATTAATTTTCCCTGCACAGATAGCACACAAACACAGAAGGACAGAAGCAGCAGAATCCGAAAGAAACAGAATGAGAAGACACTCCACGATTTTTACGTGGTTTCCAGTATTGGGAGAATAAGGATCCCAATACTGACTACTCCACGGTCAGAGAATCACGGTTGTGTGATCTCTGACGATTCACTATGATATAGCGTTGACGTTCTTCGTTACAAGCAATCTACCCAAGAGCCCTTTGATCAATCTCTACTCGATTGATCTAACTCTCTTTTCTCAAACCCGAATTGCTTCCCCAGCAACTCGAAACCAGTGTTTCCCCAACACTAACCCTCAAAGAAATTCTCCCCGAACCCTTTGAGAAAACCCCCTTTCCTATCAACCTTGCTACTCTCACAAAATCCCCTTTTGTCTTAGCTAGCTTTGTTGATCTCCTGAAAGGTTACATTTGGTGGTTCTTCAGGTCGCCTTTTATAGGGAGGAATATGACCGTTAGTCATTCAAATTCCTTCCCTATTTGTGCTGATTTGATTGAGAACTCAATCCTCTAATTTGATTTGTAGTGAGTTGGTCATTTGAGCCTCATTGTGCACTGTTGTATCCAATCTTCTTGATCTGATTTCTTCTCTAATTTTTCAGCCGTTAGAACCTTCCTTCTTTGTGTTGATTTGCTAGGTGGCAAATCAGCATCTTTGAGCATAGCTAGCCATTGAGAAGTTCTTTCCTTTATTGTTCTTGCTGATTGCAGGATCTCTCCTCCTTTATGTTGTCTTTGATTTTCTTTCCTTTACTTACAAGCTTGCAACATTTTCCTTCTTTGATTGAGGCCATTGATATGCTTGACTCAACATACTCCCCCTAAGCTTGTCAATGGCCCAATATATAGCTGCTGTATACTGCACACTTCAACAAACAATTTGGTGCAGCCTGTCCTAATAATATGCTTAAAAGAATAACATAAACCAAAAACAGCAAAGAATCATTTTCTTCAAAGGCAACGAAAATCAAAGAACATTTGATACTTGGATGAAGTACTAACAACCAGACAGACACTCCCAAAATAAACCAGGACTCTTAGACTTCTCAAAGAGTAGTTATGGATCTCCCCCTAAGCCTAATCGCTGATACTCCTAGTAAGAATACTCTAGAGAAGACATGAATGCTATTTCAGCAGCTTTGCCTTTGTCTCCCCCTGGGACATTGACGAGCTTTCAACGGGACAAATGAGGGACATTGACGACTTTCAACGGGACAAATGACGAGCTGAACTGGGAAAAATTGGAGATGGGGCCGTTCGTATCAACCCAATTAAAGGACCCATTAAATAGAAGAAGATTGGATTCTATCGCATCCACCATCATGAGATTCGAGCTTCCTTTGGGGAAGATTTGAAAGGGAATCTTTACGAAGAATTGATAGAGCTTGATTGGATAGAGATTTTAGGAAGCAGATCAGAAGAGAAGAAAGGAAAGGCTAGCTGTACCTTTTCAAGGAATCTCTCGATTGCTCTAGGCATCAGGGAGTTGGCCAGGGTAATCCATCCCACTCTGACTTATGCAGGAAAGAATTTTGAAAGAGGGAAGGTTGAATCAACCGAATTGAGGACGCGATTGAGTCAAGAGGGATTTGATTCTCCCGTATCCTCTGTCAACAGAGTGGACCTTCCTTAGATAGGCGATTGCATAGACGAAATGTGGGAAGATTTTGTTTGAACAAGAACATCGGGATTTTTTAGGCGGCAGGAGAAGAGGAAAAATCGTGGTCACTGCTGTTCTGGAATTGACCGAGAAACTCAAAGGTTGCTGGGGGTGAGATTGGGCTCAGGCCCACAGTCTGATGAGCGGCTCCAGCTCGTCTTAGATTCTAGTTTAAAAGCTCTTTACTTAGGCTATTGCTAAAAGACCCACTTAATAAAACCTACAAAATTGCACGACTGGGCTTCTAAGCCCAAATGAACAATCCCAGTGGAGGAATTAAGTTGATCCGATACTCCAGCCCAACTAAATTATCAATCCGACCCAGTCTTTAAGTGAGTCACCCACAAAGCCTTGTCAGAAGCTTAAGTGACCAGGCCTTACCAATTAGTGGATGGCCCGAGAGTAAGAGCATATTAGAGGAACTATTTTTAATTTATGTTCAACCAGTATTATTCATTTTAGAAAAGTCAACACAAGTAAATTTTACTTTAATTCATTAATCTCACTAGAAAGGATTAGCCCAAGCTCTCGACGAATGGTTAGAAATTGATCAACACCTAGAGGTTTAGTAAAAATATCAGCCCATTGATTCATCGTAGGTACAAACTCAAGCTGAATTTGGCCTTCTTCAATCAATTCTCGAATGAAATGATACCTAATTTCTATGTGCTTGGTTCGAGAATGTTGTACAGGATTTCTTGCCATGTTAATGGCACTCGTATTGTCACACAATACGGGCATGGACTTAATTTCTAACCCGTAGTCACAAAGTTGATGCTTCATCCAAAGGAGTTGAGTACAGCATAGGCCTGCGGCCACGTATTCAGCCTCGGCGGTGGATAGAGCAACAGAGCTTTGTTTTTTACTAAACCAAGACACAAGAGAATTCCCGAGAAATTGACATGTCCCGGAAGTACTCTTACGATCAACTATGCCACCAGCATAGTCTGAGTCACTATAACCAATCAGGTCAAGACTTGACTCTCTATCATACCAAAGACCTAGATCCATTGTGCCAGCTAAGTAACGAAAGAGTCTTTTGACAGCAGTCAAATGACTTTCCTTAGGGGCACTTTGAAATCTAGCACAAAGACACACACTGAATTGAATATCAGGTTTACTAGCAGTGAGGTACATTAGTGACCCAATCATTCCTCTACAGAACTTCTCGTCAACTGACTTCCCCGACACATCCTTGTCTAGTTTAATCGAAGAGGCCATAGGTGTAGAAGCAGTTTTTAAATTCCCAAATTCAAAACGTTTTAACATATTTTGAATGTACTTGGTTTGACTAATGAAGATACGCCGAGTTGTTTGTTTAATTTGTAAACCCAAAAAATATGTTAATTCTCCCATGGCACTCATTTCAAAAGTATTCTTCATGATATTTTCAAAATATTCGCACAACTCTTTGCTAGAAGATCCAAATATAATGTCATCAACATATATTTGAACTAGTAGCATATGTTGTCCTTTATCTTTTATAAAGAGAGTCTTATCCACCGAGCCCCTTCTAAAACCTTCTCCTAAAAGAAAAGAACTAAGTTTTTCATACCATGCCCGGGGTGCTTGTTTAAGTCCATAAAGTGCTTTCTTTAATTTATAGACATGGTTGGGGTATCGAAAGTCTTCAAAACCGGGTGGTTGTTCAACATATACTTCCTCTTTTAAATCACCATTTAAAAAGGCACTTTTGACGTCCATTTGAAAAAGTTTGAAACCCTTAGAGCTAGCGAATGCACATAACATTCTAATAGCTTCTAATCTGGCAACCGGGGCAAATGTTTCATCGAAGTCTATTCCCTCTTCTTGATTATACCCTTTAGCCACTAACCTAGCCCTGTTCCTAGTTGCTACCCCATTTTCATTAGACTTGATCTTATAAATCCACTTAGTCCCTATAATAACTCTATTAGGAGGTCTGGGTACCAACTCCCACACATTAGCTCGTTCAAACTGACCCATTTCTTCATTCATAGCAGCATTCCAGTTTTCATCATTCAAGGCATCTAACACGTTTTTAGGTTCAACCAATGACACAAAAGCGGTATGCACAATTGAATTTCTAGAGCGAGTGACCATACCTTCATTAAGCCCTCCTATCATAAGTGAAGAAGGATGACGTTTGGCAATATGAGGAGGAGGTTGTCTTACTTCCTGGTCTTGTTCGATCGTAGAATTTGTAGTACTTACTGCTTTATCTTGGTCTTCAGATATGATTGTTCTGGGTTCAGATTTCTCCGTGTTTGATGTCCTTGGTAGATCATAGCTCCCACCAAGTCCAAAATCATCATCATCTATCTCATCTGAACACTCATTAGCAGATTCATCAAATATCACATTTATGGACTCTTCCACTTTGAGAGTCCTTTTGTTGAAAATTCTATATGCTCTGCTAGTCATGGAATAGCCTAAGAATACACATTCATCGGACTTGGCATCAAACTTCCCAAGATGATCTTTGGTGTTTAATGCAAAGCACTTGCAACCAAAGGGATGGAAGTAACTCAGATTGGGTTTTCTTCCTCTCCAAATCTCATAAGGAGTCTTCTTAATACCAGATCTGATCAAAGCTCGATTAGTAACATAGCATGCAGTGTTTATGGCTTCAGCCCAGAAGTACTTAGGCAAACCATAGTCATGTAACATTGTTCGAGCTATGTCAATCAAAGTCCGGTTTTTCCTTTCCACTACTCCATTTTGTTGCGG